ATACCAACTAGTTTCAATAGTATACAAAAATTTTGCTTCTCTATAACTCCACTCCCTCCCCATTTTTTGTGCTATCATTATGATACAGATTAGATATTTACATATTGTATGCCCATAAGCATAGATTTACACTTTGTTTTAGTCCATTTGGGCTGCTATAACAAAATACTATAGACTGAGTAGTATGTAAAAGACAAAAATTTATCTCTTACACTTTTGGAGGCTGGGAAGTCCAAGATCAAGGTGTCATCAGATTTGGTGTCTGGTGGGAACCTGTTTCCTGGTGCATAGATGGTACCTTTTGGCTATGACCTCACATAGTAGAAGAGGCAAGACAACTGCCTTTTTATAAGGGCACTAATCTCATGGTACCTCACGTTCATGTTTTCTCTCAAGACCCCACTTTCTAAAACTGTCACATTGGTGATTAAGTTTTAACATATGAATTTTGGGGGATACAAACATTCAGATGGTATCATAATTATTACCTTATACAGTTATTTTAAAACTTAGGAGAAAAAAGTTACAAACAAAAATCCATTTATACTGATTTTTATATTAATATTTTCCTATGCTGGTCTCTATATGGTTCTCCTTATTCATTTTGTTTTGAGATACTCTATTGCTTCCTTTCATTTCAACCCAAAGAACTCCCTTTAGAATATCATAGAGGCCAGGTCAATACTAGTGAAAATTTCTGTTTTGTTGATCAGAGAATGACTTAATTTCTTTTTCATTTTCTAAGGATAATTTTGCTGATATGGAATTCTTGGTTGATGGTCTTTTGCTTTCAACCCTTTGGATATGTTATCCTAGTGTCTTCTGAATTCCAGGTTTCTGATGAGAAACCATTTTTTAATATTATTATTGAGCATCTCTCTTTTGTGGTGAAGCACTTCTTCCTTGCTATTTTCAAGATCCTCTCTTTGTGTTTAGCTTTTAACAGTTGGATTTTTTTTCATCATATTATGGGGGTACAAATGTTGTTAAGGTTAGTTGGATTCTTATATGTCTACATGTTGATCTCTTTGAGTTTATTCTACTTGGTGTTTGTTGAACTTCTTGGATGTATAGATTAATGTTTTTCACCAAATTTGAGACTTTTTTGGCTAGTTATTTTTAAATATTCTGTCTACCCTTTTCTCTCTCTTCTTCTGGGACTGTCATTTATGCATATGTTGATATCCCCAGTTCTTTTAGCTTCTGTTTATTTAAGTTTTTTGTTTTTGTTCCTCATGATGAATAATTTTAATTGATCTATTATCAAGTTTGCTGACACTCTTCTTTTGCTAGTTCAAATCTTCTGTTGAGTCCTTCTAGTGCATTTTCCTTTTAGGTATTATACTTTTCAATTCCTGGGTATCTTTGTTTTTTAATGACTCATATCCCCTCATTAATACTTTCTATTTGGAGAGATGTTATTATCATACTTTCCTTTAGTTCTTTAGACATGGTTTCCTTTAGTTTTTTTATAATTTAAAATAGCATATGAATGCATCCAAAATGATTTCCCTTTTACCATACTGTTGCAAAGGTCTTCTCCAGTGATGCTGGAGTGACATTATAGTAAATGTAAAACTAGTAAATGTAAAACTAGTAAATGTAAAACTAGTTTTCTGGTAAATGTAAAACTAGTTTTCAAATTCAGTATTGTTTCCAAGACTATCCTGCTTTAGAACAGAACTCTGTTCTTGTTGATTGATTCCTGATTCATCCTCTCAAGCATATCTTGCCTTTTTTACCATGTTTCTTTACCCACAGCATATGGAGTTAAATATATTGAATGGTTTTATAGTCATTAACCTGCAAATTATTCTATATCCCACTCCCACATTTTTGTTCCATAAGTTCTCAAATCACTTTCAGCTCTATGTCAGTACAAACATACACACATATGCACACACACACACACACACACACACACACACACACATACACACGTATAATACTACTGAACAAAACAAAATGTCTTAAAACAATTTTTTTTTCTCTCTCTCACACAGTATGAAGATCAAGCGAAGGAAAGTAGATATGTCTGGACTCAGCTGAAAGCTCGTGCTGACCTCAGCTGATGGGATTCATGCATCTGAAGACAGACTTAGGTAGGTTGGGCTCTGTCCCACTTGCTTTTCTTGCTTCTGCAGTATTTGGCTTGTTGGGAATATGCTTGTCATTGTGATGCTGCCAAAGCACCCTTAAGCAAATGAAACAACCTGAAGGCATCACTTACCAGATTAAACTATACTACAAGGCTATACAACCAAAAACATGGGACTGACACAAAATATTGTGTCATAGACCAATGGAACAAACAAAGAAACCAGATATAAACTTCCCACTATTACCATCTAATGTTTGACAAAGTAGAACAGCATATACACTGGGGGAAAATCCTATCCAATCAATAGTTCTGGGAAAATTGATAGCCACATATAAAAGATTAAAGGGATCTATCTGTACCATTCACAAAAATTAATTCAAGATGGATAACAGATTTAAATCTAAGTTTTCTTGTGATATTCTTTTCTTTTTATTTTAGAGTTAACTATATGACATTATACAGAAAACATTACCTATATTTCCATAGCTCTCCCACTGAATATTATGAATTTCTGTGTACCATATTCCTAAAAGCATGGAGGGAAAATATTTATGTAATCACTGCACTCAAAGTTTATGAGAACTGATTACTCTTTGAAGACTACCAGGAGATCAAAATGTTTGTGTGTTTCTATGATGCCTCTGCTCATTATATGAGTATTCTAGTTTTACATTCACAGATACAGTTTCTTATCTTTAACAGATCAGATTAATATTTAATGTAAAACAAAATTATAAGGTTATCAGAAAGCATTGCAACTGCATTGAATTGGTACATGGAATTATAAAAGAATTATGCAAGAAAGCTCTTATATTGGCAATCTAATAGATTATTCCTTTTACAGTGTCTTCTTTTAATTATTTAATACTGACTTATTGAAACTTACTGTTCCATATGTACTGTTGGAGCAAAAAACAGAAATGAATTACTCAAAGTCCTTCTTGAAGGATTCGCCATCCAGAAAGACTATTATACTCATTTGCTTTGTATGAATATAAAATATAAAAATGTGTTTTCCTTAGCCAGGAATTTAGTAAGCATTTCTAAAAAATGTTTTTTTCCTCTGATTCTATGACATTCAGATTTTGGCACCAATCTAAGTTTACAGTTAGCATCATCACCATGGCCAGACTACTAAAATGATCTCCTAATGATATTTTACTAAAATAATTCTAGATCTAAAACATAATGTTCTCTCCAAACTTTCTATACCAAGTTATTTTTCATTCCATTCAACAATGTTATTAGGCCCAAACCTAAGAATTATCTTTATTCTTTTAACACTCTCTCAGAAGAATGGTAGTTCTGACCCTGTCTCTTCACTTCTGCTATTTGATAGTCCAGACACTATTATTCTTATCTTTGGCTGCACAATAGTGTCACAATTTTGTTCTCTCCTTATGTCCATTCAAACTCTAACTTTTAAATAAATGTAATCCATTATATCCCGCAAAATGTTATTTACATTGCCTTTCTGCTTCCTCAAGCCTACTTCCACCACAGTTAGAATAAATCTAAACTGCTTACAACATCCCCAAACATATGACATCACCCAGCTCTTAAACACTATCTCTTTACTCCACCTTTTGTTCACTCTGCCACCCTGCTCTTGCTCTTTCTTAAAATGCCAAAATATTCTTTTGAAATATTTGATTCCTATTATTACTATTCACTTTATTTCACTTTGACCTATATTATTTCCTTTGTTTTTCTTGCTTTGGGAGTTCAGTTTGTTTCTTCTCTCTAGTTTCTAAGGTAGAAGGTAGGTTATTGATTTGAGAATCTTTTATACTGTGCTTTTATAACTGTATTTTCCTCTAAGCACTGCTTTACTGCATCTTTCATAACTTTTGGTACATTTAGTATTCATTTCCAACATTTCAAAGTATTTTCTAATTCATTGTCTTCTTCTTGATCCATTGTTATTTAGAATTGTGGTTGTCTTATTCCACATTATTGTGACTTTTCCGAATTTCCTTCTATTACTGATGTAAAATTTTCTATCATGGTCAGAAAGGTACTCACTAATAATTGGGAACTAAACAATGGGCACACGTGATTAAAAAGTTGTAAAGACATTGAAAACCAATAAGGATTGGAGGGTGGGTAAGGTATAAAACTATTGGGCACACATGAACACTATTCTGGTACCAGGCACACTACAGAGCCCAACTTATATTATAAAAGATATCCATGTAACAAAGCATTTGTACTCCTTAATATTTTGAAATTATAAAAAGAAGAAATATTACTGTTGATTTAATCTTTTTAAAGTATTCAAGTTTTTTATGGCATAATGTTCCAATGCACTTTTAAAGAATGTGTATTCTATTATTGCATGGAATATTCTATAAATGTCTATTAGTTCTAGCGATTTACAGTACTATCAAGTCATCTGTTTCCTTGGTGTCTCTCTTAGTTGTTCTATTCACTATTATTAGTAATGTAGAGTACTGAAGTCTCAAAGCATTATTTTATTTTTTTATTTTTCCCTTTTTATTCTGTCAGTTTTATTATATATTTTGTTCTTTCATTGATAATGTTAGATACAATTTTTGTCTTAAAGTCTACTTTGTCTAATATTAGTATAGCTTCTCCAGCCCTTTCAGTTACTGCTTGTATGGTAGATCTTTCTTTTCACCTTTATTTTTTATATATAGGCTATCTGTAAGTATCCAGGTATGTAATATGTTCTCATTATATTAACAATGAGTGGATATATCAGCAGCCTCATACATATTTGAGGAGGTCATGTTGTTGCTGATCCATTTTTGTCATTTCTGCCTTTTGATGGATTTTCAATCATTTTCTTCAATATTGTTATTCATAAGATAGAACAGAGTGAGATTCTGTCTCAAAACAAACAAACAAAAAATTCTTTGCCTAGAGTGAGGTGAAGGAGGATGTTAAGGATCTGAAAGAGAATAGATGAAGTTTTAAAATAGCTGCTGTGGATAACAAGATAACCCATCAATCAGGGTTAAAAATAGTTTAAGGTAGTCTCAAGTAATGAAAAAAGTATTTTTATTTTTTGGTCAGAGAGACCTGCATAGGGATTTTGGCCTTACGTAACCATGTGATCATGTGCAAGGTATTTAAAATTTCTGGCTTTATTTTCTACTTCTGCAAAATGAGGATACCAACATCCATCACTCAAGGATCTGTGGATTAACTGTAGTGACATGTAGGACTGTCTGGTATATGGTAAATAATTTTAAAATGGTAGTTAATACTCCCATTGAGGGACAAAAGAATGCAGTTGAAATTTGATTGCATGAGTTCAGAGTGGATATATTCAGTTTGGTGTGTCTCTGTTACAGAAATTTTGGGATAAGAAACACCCATTTGTTCCAAGTTCTTCCTTTCCCAGGGGTTCTAAGAGACATACAGGTCCTCTTTTTGATAACCCACTACATTTATCTGAGCATGTAGTTAAAAAGGTAACCAAAATAAAAGTTCCTTTAGCTTCAGCTTTGTGAGTGTTTTACATGGGTATTATTTTTCAGAAAGTGAATAGTATCTGATTATTCTAGATAAATCAGACTTAACGAAGTTTCTTTCTTAGCTTTTATTTACAGATCGAAACAATGTACTAAATAACAACTCAAAAAGAATTTTTCAAGCACACAACAGTCTACAATAAAATAACTCATAACCTCAAGTAAGCTTCCTTGTCCTTAATACATATTCTGATTTATTTTCTTAAAATAAAACAGACAATTAATAAAAGAAAAAGTTAGTTCTTTGAAAATATAAACAAAATTGTTAGACCCCTCATTAGATTAATAGAAAGGAAAGGACCCAAATAAGCTCAACCACAAATGGAGAAAGAGATATTACTATTACAACTGATACCACAGAAATACAAGGTATCATCTGTGAATACTATAAAAATTTCTATGCACAAAAACTCAAAATTGTTGAGGAAATAGATAAATTCCTAGAAATACACAACCTTCCAAGGCTCAATCAGGAGGAAATAGAACTACTGAACAGATCAAGTACAAGCAACAAAGTTGAAGCAGCAATAAAATGTCTTCCAATAAAAAAAATCCAGACCAGATGGTTTCACAGCCAAATTTTAACAGACCCACAAAGAAGAATTGGCACCCATACTGCAGAAATTATTTCATTACATCAAGAAGGAAGGAACTTTCCCTAACTCATTCTATAAAGCCAGTATCACCTTGATACCAAAGCCAAGAAAGGACACAGCAAAAAAAGAAAACTATAGACCAATATTACTTATGTATATAAATGCAAAAATCCTCAATAAAATTCTAGCAAACCAAATTCAGCAGCACATCAAAAAAATAATCCACCATGACTAAGTGGGCTTCATTCTAGGGATACAAGGACAGTTCAACATATGTAAATCCATAAATATTTTTCACCAAATAAACAACATTAAAAACAAATTCCATATGATCATCTCAGTAGATGCAGGAAAAGCATTGAACAAAATTTAGCACCGTTTTATGATAAAAACTCTTAACAAAATGGGCATAGATGGAATATATCTAAAAATCATAAAAGCCATATATGACAAACCCACAGCCAACATCATACTAATGGGGAAAAGTTGAAGCATTTCCACTCAGAATCAGAAGAAAACAAGGGTGCCCAATGTCACCACTTCTATTCAACATAGTGCTGGAAATCATAGCCAGAGAAATAGGAAAGCAAAGGAAATTAAGGCTATCCAAATGGGGAAAAAGGAGGTCAAACTATCACTCTTTGCTGATGATATGATCTTATATCAAGAAAACACCAGAGATGCTGCCAAGAGATTCCTGGAGTTGATAACTTCAGCAAAGTATCAGGTTACAAAATCAATGCACACAAATCAGTGGTATTCCCATATGCCAACAACAGTCAAGCTGAGAACCAAATGAAAGACTCAATTTCATTCACAATAGCTATAAACAAAATAAAATACCTAGGAATATAGTTAACCAAGGAGGTGAAAGATCTCTACAAAGAGAACTACAAAACACTGAGGGAAAAAAATCTCAGAGGACACAAACAATTGGCATAACATGTCATGTTCAACATTGTTAAAATGTCCATTCTACCAAAAGTGATATACAGATTCAGTGCAATCGCCATCAAAATACCAATGTCATTTTTTGCATAACTAGAAAAAATAATTCCATGCTTTATTTGGAATCAGAAAAGAGTCTGAACCAGCCAAAGCACCTTAAGCAAAAGAAACAACCTGAAGGCATCACTTACCAGCTTAAACTATACTACAAGGCTATGCAACAAAACAACATGGGACTGACACAAAAATATGTGTCATAGACCAATGAGACAAAACAGAAACCAGATATAAAACCTTCCACATATTACCATCTAATGTTTGACAAAGTAGACAGCACTATACACTGGGGGAAGAATCCCTTATCCAATCAATAGTTCTGGGAAAATTGGATAGCCACATATAAAAGATTAAAGGGATCTATCTGTCACCATTCACAAAAATTAATTCAAGATGGATAACAGACTTAAATCTAAGATTTTGTGATATACTTAATTTCTTTTTATATTAGAGTTAACTAAATAGACATTATAGCAAAAACATTACCTATATTTCCATAGCTCTCCCAAACTGAATATTATGATTTCTGTGTACCATATTCCTAAAAAGCATGGAGGAAAATATTTATGTAATCACTGCACTCAAAGTTTATGAGAACTGATTACTCTTAGAAGACACTACCAGGAAGGATCAAAATGTTTGTGTGTTATCTATGATGCCTCTGCTCATTAAATATGAGTATTCTAGTTTTACATTCACAGAATACAAGTTTCTTATCTTTACAAGATCAGATTAAGTAATTAATGTAAAACAAATTATAAGGTTATCAGAAAGCATTGCAACTGCATTGAATTGTACATGGAATTATAAAAGAATTATGCAAAGAAAGCTCTTATATTGGCAATCATAATAGAATCTTCCTTTGTACATGTGTCTTCTTTAAATTATTTAATACTGACTTATTGAAACTTACTGTTCCATATGTACTGTGTTGGAGACAAAAACAGAAATGAATTACTCAAAGTGCTTCTTGAAGGATTTGCCATCCAGAAAGACTATTAACCAATCCATTTGCTTTTATGAATATAAAATATAAAAATGTGTTTTCCTTAGCCAGGAATTTAGTAAGCATTTCTAAAAAAATGTTTTTTTCCTCTGATTCTATGACATTCAGAATTTGGCACCAATCTAAGTCTTACAGTTAGCATCATCACATGAGCCCAGACTACTAAAATGATCTCCTAATTGATATTTCTACTAAAATATTCTAGAATCTAAAACATAATGTTCTCTCCAAACTTCTCATACCCAAGATTTTTCATTCCATTCACAATGTACTTAGGCCCCAAACCTAAGAATTATCCTTTATTCCTTTCTAACACTCCTCATGAAGAATGGTAGTTCTGACCCTGTCTCATCACTTCTGCTATTGATAGTCCAGACACTATTATTCTTATCTTGGCTGACACAATAGTGTCACAATTTTGTTCTCTCCCTTATGTCCATTCAAACTCTAACTTTTAAATAAATGTAAGTCCATTATATCCCGCAAAATGTTATTTAGCCTTTCTGCTTCCCTCCAGCCTACTTCCACCACAGTTAGAATAAATCTAAACTGCTTACAACATCCCCAAACATATGACATCACCCAGCTCTTAAACATATCTCCTTTTACTCCACCTTTTGTTCACTCTGCCACCCTGCTCTTGCTCTTTCTTAAAAATGCCAAATTATTCTTTTGAAAATATATTGATTTCCCTATTATTTTACTATTCACTTTATTTTCACTTTGACCTATATTATATTCTTTGTTTTTTGCTTTGAGTTCAGTTTGCTTTTCTTCTCTCTAGTTTCTTAAGGTAGAAGGTTAGGTTATTGATTGAGAACTTCTTTTATACTGTAAGCTTTTATAACTGTACTTTCCTCTAAGCACTGCTTTAGCTGCATCTCATAACTTTTGGTACATTTAGTATTCATTTCCAACCATTTCAAAGTATTTTCTAATTCACTTGTGATTTCTTCTTGAATCCATTGGTTATTTAGAATTGTGTTGTCTAATTTCCACATATTTGTGACTTTCTCGAATTTCCTTCTATTACTGATTGCTAAATTATTCTATCATGGTCAGAAAGGTACTCACTAATAATTGGGAACTAAACAATGGGCACACGTGATTACAAAAGATGTAAAAGACATTGAAAACCAATAAGGATGGAGGGTGGGATAAGGGATAAAACTATTGGGCACAATGAACACTATTCTGGTACCAGGCACACTACAAGCCCAACTTAAATATTATAAAAGATATCCATGTAACAAAAGCATTTGTACTCCTTAATATTTTGAAATTATAAAAAGAAGAAAATATACTTTGTATGATTTCAATCTTTTAAGGTATCAAGTTTTGTTTATGGCATAATGTTCAAATGCACTTTTAAAGAATGTGTATTCTATTATTGCATGGAATCCTATAAATGTCTATTAGTTCTAGCGATTTACAGTACTATCAAGTCATCTGTTTCTTGTGTCTTCTCTCTAGTTGTTCTATTCACTATTATTAGTAAATGTAGAGTACTGAAGTCTCAAAGCATTATTTTTATTTTTTTAATTTTTCCCTTTAATTCTGTCAGTTTTTACTTTATATATTTGGGTTCTTTCATTAGTAATGTTAGATACATTTTTGTCTTAAAGTCTACTTTGTCTAATATTAGTATAGCTTCTCCAGCCCTTTCAGTTACTGCTTGTATGGTAGATCTTTTCTTTTCACCCTTTTATTTATATATATGGCTATCTGGTAAGTATCCAGGTATGTAATATGTTCTCATTATATTAACAATGAGTGGATACTATCCAGACAGCCTCATACATATTTGAAGTGAGGTCATGTTGTTGCCTGATCCATTTTGTCAATTCTGCCTTTTGATGGGATTTTCAATCTATTTTCTTCAATATTGTTATTCATAAGATAGGATTTACATATGCTATTTGCTATTTATTTTCTGTCTTATATGTTTTGCATTTTGTTTCTCTATTCTTATCATTGCCTTTTTGTCTAAGTAATTATTTTCATGATACAACTTTAATTTCTTTGCCATTTCTTTATTACATTTTTATTATTACATATTTATTATTAAATATGTATTTATTATTTATTATTTTTATTAAATATTAAATATTATTACATATTTATTATTACAAGTTGTTTTCTTAGTGATTGTCCTGGGACTATAATTAAAATTGTAACAACCTAGTTTGGATTGATACCAACTAGTTTCAATAGTATACAAAAATTTTGCTTCTCTATAACTCCACTCCCTCCCATTTTTGTGCTATCATTATGATACAGATTAGATATTTACATATTGTATGCCCATAAGCATAGATTTACACTTTGTTTAGTCCATTTGGGCTGCTATAACAAATACTATAGACTGAGTAGTATGTAAAAGACAAAAATTTATCTCTTACACTTTTGGAGGCTGGAAGTCCAAGATCAAGGTGTCATCAGATTTGGTGTCTGGTGGGAACCTGTTTCCTGGTGCATAGATGGTACCTTTTGGCTATGACCTCACATAGTAGAAGAGGCAAGACAACTGCCTTTTAATAAGGCACTAATCTCATGGTACCTCAGTTCATGTTTTCTCTCAAGGCCCACTTTCTAAAACTGTCACATTGGTGATTAAGTTTTAACATATGAATTTTGGGGTACAAACATTCAGATGGTATCATAATTATTACCTTATACAGTTATTAAAACTTAGGAGAAAAAAGTTACAAACAAAAATCCATTTATACTGATTTTTATATTATATTTTCCTATGCTGTGCTCTATATGGTCTCCTTATTCATTTTGTTTTGAGATACTCTATTGCTTCCTTTCATTTCAACCCGAAGAACTCCCTTTTAGAATATCATGGAGGCCAAGGTTACTAGTGAAATTTCTGTTTTGTTGATCAGAGAATGTCTTAATTTCTTTTCATTTTCTAAGGATAATTTTGCTGATATGGAATTCTTGGTTGATGGTCTTTGCTTTCACCTTTGGATATGTTATCCTAGTGTCTTCTGAATTCCAGGTTTCTGATGAGAAACCATTTTTTAATATTATTATTGAGCATCTCTCTTTGTGGTGAAGCACTTCTTCCTTGCTATTTTCAAGATCCTCTCTTTGTGTTTAGCTTTCAACAGTTGGATTTTTCATCATATTATGGGAGTACAAATGTGTTAAGGTTAGTTGGATTCTTATATGTCTACATGTTGATCTCTTTGAGTTTATTCTACTTGGTGTTGTTGAACTTCTTGGATGTATAGATTAATGTCACCAAATTTGAGAATTTTTGGCTAGTTATTTTAAATATTCTTTCTGCCCTTTTCTTTCTCTTCTTCTGGACTGTCATTTATGCATATGTTGATATCCCCAGTTCTTTTAGCTTCTGATTATTAAGTTTTTTTTTTTGTTCCTCATGATGAATAATTTTAATTGATCTATTCAAGTTTGCTGACACTCTTCTTTGCCAGTTCAAATCTTCTGTTGAGTCCTTCTAGTGCATTTCCTTTTAGTATTATACTTTTCAATTCCTGGGTATCTTTGTTTTTTGACTCATATCCCCCATTAATACTTTCTATTTGTGAGATGTTATTATCATACTTTCCTTTAGTTCTTTAGACATGGTTTCCTTTAGTTTTTTACAATTTAAAATAGCATATGAATGCATCCAAATGATTTCCTTTTACCATACTGTTGCAAAGGTCTTCTCCAGTGATGCTGGAGTGACATTATAGTAAATGTAAAACTAGTAAATGTAAAACTAGTAAATGTAAAACTAGTTTTCTGGTAAATGTAAAACTTAGTTCAAATTCAGTATTGTTTCCAAGACTATCCTGCTTTACTCAGAACTCTGTTTCTTGTTGATTGATTCCTGATTCATCCTCTCAAGCATATCTTGCCTTTTACCATGTTTCTTTACCCACAGCATATGGAGTTAAATATATTGAATGGTTTTTATACTCATTAACCTGCAAATTATTTATATCCACTCCCACATTTTGTTCCATAAGTTCTCAAATCACTTTCAGCCCTATGTCAGTACACACATACACACATATGCACACACACACACACACACACGTATAATACTACTGAACAAAACAAAATGTCTTAAAATAATTCTTTTTCTCTCTCTCACACAGTATGAAGATCAAGCGAAGGAAAGTAGATATGTCTGGACTCAGCTGAAAGCTCGTGCTGACCTCAGCTGATGGGATTCATGCATCTGAAGACAGACTTAGGTAGGTTGGGCTCTGTCCCACTTGCTTTTCTTGCTTCTGCAGTATTTGGCTTGTTGGGAATATGCTTGTCATTGTGATGCTCAACTGAGGGTACAATGATGCACTTTTCAAATCCCTGCTTTTATCACTTCTGCTAAAATTCGATTGGACAAAACAAGTCACATAGATGAGTTCATGGTAACAGCAGGGAGGACAAAGAATAATCTTCTTTGGTAACAGGAGGGAGAACAAAATTTAATCTACCCCCAACCCCAATTGCACCCTATACCTCAAAAGCTGCCCTAAATGGTGTAAGTCCTGAATAAAAATTTAGATTGCTATAGTTGGCATTACATCTCTCATATCTGGATGGCACCTGACATACAAATCTATTCTTGGACCAGTTTGTCTTTTTCATCCTGCAAGAAGAGCCGTCACCACTAATTTGCTATCAGCCTTATCTATCAAGAGAGAAATGATGTTCATATAATTCAATGTTCTTCCCTGTAACTAATGATGAATAAAGATAGGGTAGCTTATTAGCATACCTGTCTTCTTTGTTTACCATACAAATAAATGGCCAAGTCTCTTCAGTCCACACCTTTTGAGTGGGTCTGATATAAAGGGTACTTAATTCATTAGAAACATATAGATGGGCTAAAGATAATTGAAATCGCCAGTCTGCAAATTACTCAGGTTAGTGCAAAAGTATTTGTTCAATACTGTGGAAGGTGTTTCTTAACTGTATTATGTTGTCTGTCCTCAAATAATTCTTACTTCTGTATATTATGCCTATAAGGAAATATTAAAAAGGCAGTATAACAAGGCAGGATGGTATATTATGATTAATAGAAAATTTGTACTGATAACTTCAAATTTGACTTTAGACGCAGCTTAAATAATTGTGTTAATAAAACAGATAAGGCAGAAGCTTTTCCTTTTGAGATATCTGTATGGATCTAAGTTTCTAGATTTATTGGCCCTAGAACTGGAGACAATGTTTTACAGTCAGCAATTATTGATGACATACTCTTTAGGTCATATAACACTAAAATCATTCAATTATTTAAACATATGCATTCATCTTCAAAGCCTGTGTGTATAGATTTTATGAATCACTTAATAATTTTACATCTCTTTCCACATATTAAATATGTCAATAATACATATGCCAAAAGCATAATTATTGATAACCTTAAAAGAGTATAATTTAAATAATTTTAAGTACAGTCACCTTCCATTTGCTAGTATCTCTTGAAAATATGTAATTATCAGGTTGATACTATAGTAACTGTCAGTGTTTCTAATAGCAACCAAGAAAAGTAATCTCAAGGTTTAGAATTTTTAAAAAGACTCAAAAATTTGGAAAATAATTATCTAATTACTTCTAATAATATTATGAAAAAAAGAAAGGAGAACATTTTGGAAATGTGTGAGTCTTGTGTTAATTTGTTAACATTATTCTAAGAATAGTTTTAATTTTCCCAACAAAACTGTTTGAACCAGAAGAATTACTTTAATGTGCTTTTATTTTTAACTAAATAGAGTTGTTGATTCATTATTTACAGTATTTGAAGCAAGATTGTAAAACACTTGATGATCTATTGTGTTCTAAATGATGTAAAATGTATGTTATTTTGGAGTAAAATTGTATATTATACAATAAATTAATGTTTAATACAAATTATATCTTTTATTCAAATCATATAGTTTAATAATTTAGAGGATCATGTAACAAATCATTTCAACCAACAATATTTTTCTTTTAAAATTATTTTGATTTAATGGAAAAAGTTAAGGAAACTTATTTGCTCAATTTCTAGATCCTTATTTTAAAATGTTTTTGAAACTGGAATCAAAGTAAAATTACATCAGCCTATCTATAGATTAAAAAGTCAATGTTGACTCTGGCCTGTATCATTGTCACTGTGTGTGCATGTGTATGTGTGTGTGTGTACAGATGAATTAGAAGAGAAGGATACTGAAGACGTACTCTCATCCAATTGTCCTCAGCTGAATTGTTTTCAGAGGTGGCAAAGTTTAATTTAAGTTAACTTGAATCCCTAAGTGTTCCTGAAAATTTATTTCAAAGATTACACTATTGAGCATTCATAAAACAAAACCTATTGCATATGCCAATGATTCTCTGTCATAAGCCCAGCAATTCAGTTTAGGAATTACAAAGAGCCAAATCCCTTCAAACCATCAGATAATTTAAAAACTTGGGAAGATTGATAATTTATCAATATGTCACAAAAATCTCTCACTCAGGCATTGAAGAGATATCTGTCAAAAGTTTCTAGATAATTTTCAAGACAAACTACCACCTAGTATTGAAGTGGGGAGACAAGAAGACCATGAGGAATGAAAAATTACCTATTAGGTACAGTGTACATTATTTTGGTGACGGGAACACTAAAAGCCCAGACTTCACCACATGCAATTCATCTATGTAACTAAAAACCACTTGTACCCCTCAATCTATCAAAATTTTTTTAAAAAAATGTATCTCCAAACATTGCCAAATGTTCTTTGGAGAACAAAGTCGCTCCAGTGGAGAACTGCTGATCTGTATAATACTTGTTAAGTGACTTGATGAAGTTCACATATGGAACTGTGATTCAAAACTCAGACCTCTCCTCATATCTCTTCGTTCCTTGCAGTTTGTGCAATTGTGGGCCTCAGTTTTATAGCCTCTGAAATGTCAACAATATATTTCTTATAGAATTTTTATCATATATAACTTATGTATTATTATTTCAGTCCAACACTTTTGAATTATTTGTTATATCTTATAAAGTCATTACCACTGTATTTTTTTCTCCCTCTTCTTGATCTTTTCATGCATTTTTTTAAACCTAATACTTTGTAGAGGTGCAAAATATTTAGCCACCTTCTTTGTTATAATTCTTCATGTAATTAAGTAGAATTCTTCAGTTGTACATTATACTATAATTATACTCAATTGTGCTGGTTATTTTATGGTTTTGCTACCCATCTCAACTACTAGTTTTAATTTTTGATCTCATGTATTTTTCTTCATGCATTGATCACTGAATTTGTCCCTGCTTTAATAGGAAGATAGTTAAATACTGGGAGTGGTATCCATTTTTTTTGTATCTTATCCTTTATTGGTCAACTTAAATCAATTAACTTAAATCAATTACAAATTCTTATTCTCATCAATTTTGAATACTAACCAAACTTTGGTAGCCTGATCTGATTCAAGTCTCATGAAAGAGTGGGGGCAAGGACAATTAATTATTAGGATACCATTTTAGTAACCTATTAAAGTAATGATACTGCAACAAAGAAGAGATGGATATAAGAGAAACATAGATATGAATCTGGTTGAATGTTGATAATGAGCAAATACTGGCATCTGAAATAAGTGAAGACTCAGGGGACTTGTATGACTTGTTGGACTGAAGAATCATGAGAGTAAAGAATAGCCAGCAACAATGAGTTCATTTTTGAATAAGCTAAGTTTGAGGATTAAGTAGAAAGCCCAGGTCCAAACAGTCAGTAGACGTTGGGCATACATAATATCTAGAACTTAACAGAGAGTTTTTAGCTAAAGCTAAACATTTGGCAACATGCATACATAAGACACACAACACAATGTGTGTGTTGTATTATGTATGTATATAGTATAAGTGTGTATATATACTCATCCATATATGTGTGTTTATATATATATACATGTATGGATATGTAGAAGTGAAAGAAGATGGATCATAAAAAATCAAATTCTCAGACATTGGAACTATTCATGTAATGTAAGTTTTTTTAGATAGTCCTATGAATTTTTAAAGTCTCAAATTACATAAATAAGTTACTTATGAAAAAAATATCAGCCACCTATGATTGCTAATGGCAAGATGATGGCAATGTACTCTTAGCACATATTATAATACTGTAGTTCATAAACCATGACTTGTGACAGCTGTATAATTTTAGTGAAATTATGAAGTGGAACTAAGAATTGTGATGTTGGGAAAAATGCTTCAAAATCAGTTCTTGCACTGAAAGGTTTTATGTAATAACACAATTGCTACTGACAAACATCTTCCTCTTTTTTTTCCTTGCAAGTGGGAGTAACTGCCAGGTATTTTCTCTTTTACATTAATTTCTAACTTTACTTATACTAACATACTAATCAGATTTGAAAGTATGATCAGCACTTACTGCTTTTCCTTTCATACCTCTCAAAATTTAATTTTAATAGTGCATCTTAAAGTTCAGATCCTTCGATAAAGGTTAAATTTAATCGAACATTTTTGAGATATTTTCACTTCCATTGATCTCTTTCACCAATTTGATAAGAATTCATGAAAAAAACACAAAGATTTTAAATGAATACATTTGATGAAATAATACAATTAAACTTCAAATAGCAATATCAATAGGATAATGAGGCCGGCATGGTGGCTCATGCTGTAATCCTAGCACTCTGGGAGGCCGAGCTGGGCCGATTGCTCAAGGTCAGGAGTTCGAGACCAGCCTGAGCAAGAGTGAGACTCCATCTCTACTAAAAAAAAATGTAGAAAGAAATTAGCTGGACAACTTAAAAAATAATAATATATATATATATATATAAAATTAGCCAGGCATGGTGGCACATGTCTGTAGTCCAGCTCACCAGGAAGCAGAGGCAGAAGGATTGCTTAAACCCAGGAGTTTGAGGTTGCTGTGAGCTAGGCTGATGCCATGACACTCTAGTCAGGGCAACAGAGTGAGGCTCTGTCTCAAAAAAAAAAAAAAAAAGGATAATGAGTTAACTTTCAATAAGGAACAAATAATATGGTCTTGTGAAACATTTTTTCATAATAATTAACAAATAATATGCTAATATGCAACATTATTTTGAATTAATGGAGATTTAACTCTAAAATAGTTATCTTCTCTCATTACAAAATATAATCCTACAGATTATGAATACTATGAAAAAAATTAATATAAAATAAAAGTAATGTATTATAATGTAATATAAACACAAAACAAACTCATAATGCACATTG